CGACCCGAACCGGCTAGTTTTTTCAAAATTTTAATCGGTTTAATCGGGTTATTTTTTTGGTTCGGTTTTTTCAGTTTTTTTTTCCGGTTTTCTCGGTTTAATCGGTTTTTTTGAACACCCCTACTCTTTACTATGCGATTCAACTTGTTTTTTTTTTTTTTTAAAAAAGATAATAATAATTTTTTTATTTTTAAAATATTTTTAATATGTTAATATAAAAAATAAAAAAATATTATTTCAATATATTAAAAAAATATTTTAAAAAACAATCATTTTCACCTACCGAAATAAAAACGATGCATCTACTTTATATCCATATACAAGTTGTGGTCCAAATCCAAAAGATGATGGCTGTTTATCACGCTTGCAAGATTTGTGGTTCTGCAGAACCCGCAAGAACTCATGGCTCCCCATTCTTCACCAGACAAATGAATCCAACAAACCCCATCTTCTTTTGAGCTAGCATTCTTTCGAGTTTCAACAAACTCTTTTTTGGCTTGGATTCAAGCTACTGGTCTTTGTTTTAAAAAGATGTGTTCGATTTTATTTTCTAAAATAAAAATAAAAGATATGAACATGCAGTTATTTGCTGAAGTAAAATTACATATATGAAAAAAAGAAGAGTGTATTAAGAGCAGCTTGAACTGATGCTGTTTTCCATACCTGAAGGGAGTGCCCAAGGCATGCAGCCTTGCAAAATATACGAGTGATCTGCTGTTAGAACTGGCCGGAGAAGATTTGAAGCTGCATTTTTCAAGCTTCAACTCCCCAAAAAAACTTAACTGCGATTAAGCTTTCATGCTGTGGTCCAGGAAAAACTTGGCCAATCTTAACCGAAGAGTTGTACTGTTGGACTGCTAGTACTTCATAGATTTATTTAAACATATGAGAAACCGTTAAGTAAGTGAAAAAAATCAACATTGAATGATAAAGAATTTTTGGACCAGTTCTTGATGAGTGCCCATACTGATAATCTGATACAAATCATTATGTCCGGTGTGATCATGTGTTGATGGATAACATTCATAGGCATATGTACGTAGGAAAGAAGTTCCTAGACATTGAAGATCAGAGATGATAAGGAGTTGGAAACTCTGCAAAATCGGTTTATTTACAGCAAAATTTATCATTGAATCTATAATTATACAGCATGAAAGCGTTTCTTAGTTTTTCACGTAACAACCTGTGGACGTAATAGATCAAGCAATTTCTTGATCTCAAGAGCCATTTTTTATACGAAATAACAAAGAAGTAGCAATCCTTTTCTTTTCTACTAATTGAGGGTAGAAAAAAATATAGAAAAATTATGTAAAATGTTTTACAAGGTAAAAAATGAATACAAAAAATCAAAGAAAAAATGAATACAAAAAATATTCCATATGCCATGTAGAAAATCAATGTGGTCCACTTTTTCTTCCTTTTTTTTTACACAACAAAAGTAGTTAGAGAAAAATCCAAGTGTAATTCGCAAATAAATAATTCATCAATTAAAGCAGAAACTGCCCTTGGTATTGACAAAGGTGGCAATTAAATGCTCACTTGGCACTCTTTGAATCACCTAATCAACTCTTTTGGATCAGGTAGCTGCCATGCCAAAACGTGGCTGTGGCTGCTCTTCTCCTTATATATAGATACCATCAAAAGCAAGCCACACATTCACCCAACTCACACTAGACACTCACTCTCCTACCTCCATCACTCTTTCTGCACAGGAAGAGAGAGTTCAAAGAAGAGGGCACCGCTGCTGCTGCTGCTGAAGTTGGATAGTTACTAGCTAAAAGTAGCATTTTTGTGCTGTTTTCTTTGTTGGGGTACAAAAAATGGCTGGGACTGGAGTGTTTTCAGAAATATTGGATGGTGATGCGTACAAGTACTACTCTGATGGAGAATGGAGGAAATCTTCTTCTGGCAAAACTGTTTCTATTGTCAACCCA